ACAGGGCAGGAACCTGGAGGCAGGAGCTGAGGAGTGCTCTTTACTGACTTGTTCAACATGGCTTCCTCAGCTTACTTTCTTACAGAACTTAGGACCCCCCATCACCCACCACGGGCTTGGCCCTCCCCCATGAGTCACAAATTAAGAAAATGCCCTACAGGTGGATCTTATGGAGGCATTTTCTCAATTGAGGTTCCCTTCTTTCAGACGACTCTAGCTGTGTCAAATGGACGTAAAACTAGCCAGGACAGAGGCCCTGGTTTTGATCATCAGCACCACCATAGGAAATAAGAAATCAAAGCAGGGCTGGAGAGATGACTCAGCCGTCAAAAGTACTCATTGCTCTTTGAGAGGACCTAGGTTCAAGTGCCTGCACCCACATGGCAGCTCACCACTTCAGTCCTCCACAGGACAGTCCCAGGAGAGCTGACTCTCTTATGACCCCTGAGAGCACCAGGGATGCACATGTTGCACAGACGTACATGTAGACAAATCACTCATGCTCATGTATATCAAATAAATAAAATTTAAAAAGCAAAAACCAATATTCTTTTTTAAAAAAGCTTTTTTTGATGATTCTTTTTGATTTTTTATGTGCACTGGTGTTTTGACTGCATGTGTGTCTGTGTGAGGGTGTTGGGTCCCCGGAACTGAAGTTACACACAGTTGTGAGCTGCCATGTGAGTGCTGGGGATTGAACCAGGGTCCTCTGGAACAGCAACCAGTGCTCTTTACCTCTGAGCCATCTCTTCAGCCCCCCCACATTATTTTTTAAATTTTTAAACATTTATTTATTTTATGTGCATTGGTGGTTTTGCCTGTATGTATGTATGAGGGTGCCAGGGTTTGGAGTTACAGAGAGTTGTGAGCTGCCATGTGGGTGCTGGGAATTGAACCCAGGTCCACTGGATGAGGAGTCAGTGCTCTGAGTCGTATTTCCAGTCCCAGGCCCCCAATATTCTTTAAAAGTGTCAAAGTCATCAAAAGGAAGAAAAGTCTAAGAAACTGTACTAGTTAAGAATGGATGGGATGTAGAAATAGAAAAGACAGTAATCTCTGAATTCAAGGCCAGCCTGGTCTACAGAGCAAGTTCTAGGACATCCAGGGCTACACAGAGAAACCCTGTCTCAAACCCACCTCCTCCCCCAAAAGGAAAATGACACTAGATAAAAACAAAGAAAATATGACTAAAACCTGAGCTTCAGTCAATAGTAACACATCAGTATTGGCATGTATATACTTCCAGGTGATGGAGGGGCACTTTCCTGGGTATGAGGTCACGGGCCAAGCAGGCTCTCAACTTGATTTGACCTTTTTAGGTATAAGTTGGTTGTTGTTCTGGGTGCATTTCTTGTGGCAGTTGACTACATTGCACCTGGGTGCAGGGGTTAGCAGCATTTCTGACAGATCATCTTGTCCCAGATGTACTTCTGGATGAGCTGGCAAAGGAACAGCTCTGTGATGCCACCACACAGGTGCAGGGGGCCTCTTTCTGGATATTGTAGTCTGACAAGGTGTGGTCATTCTCCAGCTGCTTCCTGGTGAACATCAACTCTGCCGGTTGTGCTGGATGCCTTCCTTATACCTTAGATTTTGGCCCTGAGAATGGTGTCACTGGGCTCAGCCCCTAGGGTGACAGTCTTATTCCTCAGGTCTTCATGAAGGGCTTCATGCTGGCATCTGCCACTATGCCATCGTTTAAAAAGGAAAAGGGCGGCAGAACTGGAAACACCGAGGTTAAAAAAAACTTTTTAAAAGTTGCTTGGTGTGGTGACACACGACTTTAATTCCAGTACTTGGGAGGCAGAAGCAGAGGCAGGTGGATCTCTGTGAGTTTGAGGCCAGCCTGATCTATATAGTGAGTACTTTATCTCAAAAATACCAAATAAATTAATAAATAAAATTAAAAAAAGGAATGTTTTTGACTTAATGTGTATACAGATTTTTTTCTTGTTTTGTTTTTTGAGACAGGGTTTCTCTGTGTAGCCCTGGCTGTCCTAGAACTCACTCTGTAGACCATGCTAGCTTCAAACTCACATTCATCAGCCTCTGCCTCCCAAGTGCTGGGATTAAAGGTGTGTATGTCTGTATATACACCATGTGAATACAGTGCCCATGGAGGTGAGAGAAGGGTGTTGATCCCCGGCAAGCGGAGTTACAAGTGGTTTTGGGTCACCATGTGGGTGCTGGGAACTAAGTCCAGGTCCTTTGCAAGAACAGCAGTGCTCTTAACCACTGAACCATTTCTTCAATCCCCTCCTTTTTTATATTAAAAAAATTACGTTTACACGTGTATTTTTGTCTAGATAAGTACATGTGAGTTTGGGTGACCACAGAGGCCAGGAACATCAGATTCCCTGGAGCTGGAGTTATATGTGATTGCGAGCTATCTGATGTGGGTGCTGAGAATTGAACTCAGGTCCTCCAGAAGTGAGGTACACGCTCTTAACCACTGATAATCTTTCCAGCCCCCAGGCTTCAATGTGTTACAGACATACACACAAGCAAGCCACACACACACACACACACACACACACACACACACACACACCATCTAAAATATTTAAACAATTTTAAATTATATCATTTATTTATTATTTAGTGTGTGCCATTGCAAGCACTGAGTGTAGGTCAGAGGACAACTTACGACTTGTGGGAATCAGTTCTTTACTTCCACCACGTGGATCCTGGGACTCCTTCTCTGTCTTCAGGCTTAGCAGCAGTTCCCTTTATCTGCTGAGGCTTCTCACAGGCTCCTTGTTTTGAGACAGGGTCTTGTAGCCTAGAACTGATCCTCTTGTCTCTATTCCCAGAGGGCTGGGATTACAGGTGAGCAGCAGCAGCACCACTTGGTTTTAAGAAAGGTTCTTTTATGAGTCAGGCAGGACTAGAATCCGAAGTGATCCTTCTGCTTCAACCTCCAGAATCTTGGGATCACAAGCACGTAGCATCATGCTGAGCTGTCAGTTTTGGTTTATAAATCACAATAATTGCCCTATACTATGGAAGATGTTATAATAGGGAACTGGGTGCTAAGTACTTTACTGTTTCTATAAATCTGAAACTTTTGTAAAAGTAAAGTCTTATTAGCTGTAGATTTAATTTAACCATTACAACTCCTTGTGTTAGGTGTAATTAATCTTCTTTTACAGAAGCTGATCAAACAAGTAGTTGGAATGGAGCTTTCTGAACCCAAAATGGTGTGTTTGGAACTTGCCTCAGTATTCTGGTTTCTGGTTTTTTTTTTTTTTTTTAATTTTAATTTTTTATTTTGAGACAGGGTCTCTATGTAGCTCTGGCTGTCCTGGAACTTGCTATGTAGACCAGGCTGGCCTTGAGCTCAGTCAGCCTGCCTCTGCCTATCAAGTGCTGGAATCAAAGGCGTGAGCCACCATGCCCAGTAGTATCCTGGTTTCTGTATCAAACAATCCTTGAGTATCCTAACGCAGGGACTGAAGACTATGTTTCCCTGTCTTCAGTCATGCCAGGCCCAGGCAGATCAAGCAGAACGGATCCGTAGGAGGTAAAAGTTCAACCACAGCCTTTTGTTTTTAGAGATGGGGGTCTCACTATGTAGCGCTGACTGGCAAGGAACTTCGCAAGTAGACCAGGTTGGCCTCACACTCACCCTTCTGCTTTTGTCCTCTCTCTTCCTTTCCAAGCTCATACCAGACCAACCTCAGTATTTTGCAATCAGGTACTCTAAAAAGGTACAGGCAGCGCTCTTCCCCAAATCTCACGGAGTAGGACCTGGAATCGGGTTCAGCATTAGTTTTCTACTCTTTCCACACAACCTTCTCTCGGTAAAGGGAAGCAGGAGCTAGCGTGTCTGCTTTTCCCTAGTTCTCTTTTGGGAGACTGGCTTCCCTAAGGTGGGCGTCTTGCCTAGGGGCTCGACCAGCGGGAGGTGCAGCTTACTCTAGCATCTACTAGAGTGTGGGGACCACAGACTGGGTGTCGCCGAGAGGAGCCCCGCAGGGGACCAGGGATCCACACGAGACTGCGGAGGCCAGGGGACACGCAGGGCGAGAGCGCTTGAGAGCCTCAGGACCTGAGGTTCCTTCCGGGGCACGCCTCTGGAACCGCGGCGTCAGGCCGCACAACCGTCACTTAGGGCCCAAAGCGATCCTCCGCGACCCGCCCTTGATCCCCACCGCCGCTTGGCTCTTTTAAGGGTGGGGGACACGCGCGGGCGTCACAAAGCGCCGCCACCGTGGGGCCCGGCGGCGGGGGAGAAGCGGGCAGGCGGGTGCAGGAGCGGAGCAAAGCCGAGCGAGGAGGGCGGGGGGGGGGGGGGGGGGGAAAGGAGGGGCGCGCGCACGCGCACCGGGCCGCTGCCGCCGCGAGCCGCCCCCCTCCCGGCGCGCGCCCCTCCTCCTCCTCCTCCTCCTCTCCCTCCCTCCCTCCCTCCCTCCCTCCCGTCCTCCCTCCCTCCCTCCTTCTCTGCTCTGTCGCTCCCGCGGCGCGAGGCGCTCTCGCTCTTCTCCTCCGCCCCTCCCCCCGCGCAGCCGCTGCCGTCGCCGCCGCCGCCGCCGCCGCCGCCGCCGCCGCCGCCACCGTCCCGAGACCCCAGCGCACGGCGCGCCCTCCCCTCGTGCGCCCCTCCGGCCCCCGCGGAGAACGAGAGGGCGAGCGAGCACGGCGCTCCCGGCCCAGCCCGGTCCCCCTGTCTTCACCATCGCCTGCCCTCCGCCGCCTTCCTTCGCTTCCACCTCCACTCCCCCCCCCCCCAAGTAGAGGCCCCCTCCGGGGGGGGGAGGCCCGGGTCCCGGAGCGGATTCCCCCAACTCCCTCAGGCCCGCCCCCGCCCGGCCCGAGTGGGAGGAGGAGGGCCCGGGCCGGCCCGCGTCGAGAGTGAGGAGGACCCCGGGCGGGCCCACGGGCCGTCTGGGGCCTGATCCATCAGGCCCCGCCAGGCGTGTGAAGACAGCGGCCCGGCCCGGCCCGGCCCGAGGGCGAGCAGAGGGGAGGGGCCTGGTCCGGCCCGGCCGGTGCGCGAGGACTGGGGCCGCGGCCCCGCACGGCCGCCGCCGCCGCCGCCGCCGCCGCCGCCGCCGCGATGGCCCAGCAGCAGATGACCAGCTCGCAAAAAGCCTTGATGCTTGAGCTGAAATCCCTGCAGGAGGAACCAGTGGAGGGCTTCCGGATCACCCTGGTGGATGAGTCCGACCTCTACAACTGGGAGGTGGCCATCTTCGGACCCCCTAACACCCTCTACGAAGGCGGCTACTTCAAGGTACCCCCCCCCCCACCCCACCCCGTTCCCGGGCCTCCGCTCTCCGCCGCGGGCCGGGAGCGTGAGCGCGGGGGAGCCGAGGGGGCCCCTCACCTCGCAGCCCCCTCCCCCATCCGTGGAGGCAGGAAGGCCTTGCTCACCAAGTGCCTTTTCTTTGTCATGGGGCGGGGGCGGGAGGCCAGACGGCACCGGGAAATAGGAAAGCCTCTGTGGCTGGGGTAGTTGGCTACCGGGAAGGAGGGCTGCCTTTGTTTTGTTTCTCCAGCTGAGGGTGTGTGGAAATAGAGATGGTCTATCTTCTCTTTCTCGACCCATCCGAGCCTTCTCTGCGCAGGCTGGAACTGCCCCAGAGGGCAGGGTGACCTGCACTTATTGGATTGGACTTTTCTCTTTTTTGGGGGGGGGGGGAGGGAATGTGGGGGAGGAACATTAGCCTGTCATTCCCGATGTTGCTAGTGCCCTGACATTTGGAGGATTTGTTGGTCTTGGGTAGGAGTAGTCCCAACTTTTGATTCCAGTAGGTGGTAATAAGGAAGAGGACCCTGGGGGAGGGTGGCCAGAAAAGGGAGGGTGGTGTGCTGGCGTTGCCTTGCTCATCTGCTTGAGGGGACTTTAATTTAGCCCTCTTTCTGCCCTCATTTACTCCATAGTCTCCCTTGCTTTCAGAATGCCCTTTGTCCTTTCCTACCAAGTTTACAAGCAAACCCCCCCCCCCCCCCCCGTACAAACATCCACAAAGGGTGGGACATGTCAGGCAGAGAGATTGATAGTTTCCCACTTTAGGGAGAGAAAATTGAATGCTTTTGCTTAGGTGGTTAGCTTCTGCAAATGGGGTCGTCCCACAAATGAGAAGCAGCTGAGGTGAGAGGGTTTCTTCTCATGGTGGAGAGGCTCCTTAGGCAGCCTCTACATATACATTGTTTCTATTGTCTTCCACGGATTATTCCTGAGTTCAGTACTTGGAGACACTGAGGGTTTTTTGTTGTTGTTTGTTTTGTTTTTGTTTTGTCTTGATTTGACTAAAGCGTGTTTTTTTTTTTGGAGGGTGGAATCCCTGAGTGAAGATGGAGTTGGGGGTAGAGTCAGAGGAAATGAGTGTTTAGGAATTCATTTTTTTTTCTAATTTCTAGAATTAAGTAAAATAGGCCAATGAGTCAATTTTAGTTTGTTTTGAAGGGAGGGGTTATCTTGGCACAAGTTTTAAACGAATATCTTAGTCATGTAGTTGTGATGTGTATTTTTAGGACTACCCAATTACTTAACTCTTATTTTGTACCGTTCAAAAGCCTCAATTTCAGGCTTTAAACTGGGTCAACTTTGTTGAAAATAGGATTGATAGAGAATGCTTAACATTCATGCATGTGATAGTTGCTGAATACTTAGTAAAAGGACATTTTTAGAATCTTATGTAAGAGTGGTAGGTAGCCTTACCAACTGTTTGCTTCATCTTTTGTGGTCAGTATACACTATACTTTTTAGATGCAGGTGCTTAAAATTACGGAGTAAAGGTTCACGTCATTAGTGACAGATTGGAAAGGATATTTTTGTGTCCATGTTGAGGTGTGTTGTATGTACTGTCAAATATAAACATTCATTTGTAGATATTGGAAGTATTGCACAAAGTGGAGTTTGTATGATAACTTTCCTAGAAAACAGTTGGAAAGCAAATGCCTGGTTAATTTTAAAGGATACAGTTTGTTTGCTTTTTGTTTTTTGTTCTTTTGGTTGAGACAGGGTTTCTCTTTGTGGCCTTGGCTGTCCTGGAACTCTCTCAGTAGACCAGGCTGTCCTGGAACTCACAGAGATCCACCTGCCTCTGCCTCCTGAGTGCTGGGATTAGAGGCCTGTACCACCATACCTGATATAAGGATACAGTTTAATTTCCAAAAAGTATTATTACTGAATCAATAGTTAAGGTAAATGGGTTGTAGTTAATCTCCCTCTATTGGAGTTTTTTTTTTTTTTTAAACTGTGAAAGAAAATAATACTTCTGCTTACTAATGGGGAACAGAATGTGGCTCTCTTGATTTGGAAATGATAGTATAGAAATACTTCCTGTAACATAATTTAAAATAAAGGCTTTGGGCTGAGACTGTAGCTCAGTAGTAGAGTACTTGCTTATCATGCATGAAGACCTGATTTTAAACCCCAGCAACACACACAACAAAATAAATTATAGCTTTAGTCCTGGTGCAAAGATTGGCTTTGGGGACTGGGTGTACCTCAGTGGTAGAGGGCTTGTCTAGCATGGTTAAAACCCTGGGTTCTGGACCCACACGTGTCCTTGAGATCCCAGCAGTCAAGAAGCAAAGGCAGGAGTTTTACAAACAAGTCAGAGGCCAGTCTAGTCTACATAGAAAGTTCCAGTCTAGTCTACATAGAAAGTTCCAGTCTAGTCTACATAGTAAGTTCCAGTCTAGTCTACATAGTAAGTTCCAGTCTAGTCTACATAGTAAGTTCCAGTCTAGTCTACATAGTAAGTTCCAGTCTAGTCTACATAGTAAGTTCCAGTCTAGTCTACATAGAAAGTTCTAGTCTAGTCTACATTGAAAGTTCTAGTCTAGTCTACATAGTAAGTTCCAGTCTAGTCTACATAGTAAGTTGCAGTCTAGTCTACATAGAAAGTTCTAGTCTACATAGTAAGTTCCAGTCTAGTCTACATAGTAAGTTCCAGTCTAGTCTACATAGTAAGTTCCAGTCTACATAGAAAGTTCTAGTCTAGTCTACATAGAAAGTTCTAGTCTAGTCTACATAGTAAGTTCCAGTCTAGTCTACATAGTAAGTTCCAGTCTACATAGAAAGTTCTAGTCTAGTCTACATAGAAAGTTCTAGTCTAGTCTAGTCTACATAGTAAGTTCCAGTCTAGTCTACATAGAAAGTTCTAGTCTAGTCTAGTCTACATAGTAAGTTCCAGTCTAGTCTACATAGTAAGTTCTAGGCTGACCAGGACTGCATGGCAGGAAGGGATGGAAAAGAGAAAAGAAAGAGCTTTAGTTCCTGTTTAAGATGGTTTTCGCCGGGTGGTGGTGGCACACGCCTTTAATCCCAGCACTCAGGAGGCAGAGCCAGGAGGATCTCCTGTGAGTTCGAGGCCAGCCTGGGCTACAGAGTGAGTTCCAGGAAAGGCGCAAAGCTACACAGAGAAACCCTGTCTCAAAAAAACCAACCAACCAACCAAACAAACAAACAAAAATATGGTTTTCATTTTTCCAGACAGGGTTTCTCTGTGTAGCCCTGGCTATCCTGTACCTAGCTCTGTAGCCCAGGCTGGTTTCAAACTCAGAGATCTGCCTGTCTCTGCCTCTGCTACCGAGTGCTGGGCTGTTTTTGCTTTCATGTATGTATGTGTACCACGTGTGTGCTTGCTTGGTGTTTTCAGAGTTCAGAAGAGGGCATTGGATCCTCCGAAAACTTGAGTTACAAATGCTTGTCAGCCACCCTGTGGGTGTTTGGAATTGAACCTGGGTCCTCTGCAAGAGCAGCAGATACTCCTAGCCACAGAGCCAACTCTTCAGTTCCTGTTTAAATTTTTTATTTATTTTTTTAAAACAGGGTTTCTCTGTGTAGCCCTGGCTGTCCTGGAACTCTCTGTAGACCATGCTGGCCTTGATCCACCTGCCTCTGCTTCCGAGTGCAGGAATTAAAGGCATGCACCACCACTGCCTGGCTAAATTTCTTAATATTAGGATTTGTGTGCCCTATTTTTTTTTCTGTCTTAATTTTTAAAAATTGTGTTTGTGTGTGTGTGTGTGTGTGTGTGTGTGTGTGTGTGTGTGATGTTTTTGTGAATTTGGGTGAGCACAGGCCACAGCTTATTTGTAGGGGTCAGAGGACAGCTTTTGGGGTGTAGTTTTTCCTTCCACCTTTGTGTGGGTTCTATGGATTAAACTCAGATTTACAGGCTTGTATGGCAAGAGCCTTACTTGCTGATCCATCTTGTCTGCCCCGTACTAATTTTTTGACGCTGGGGATTGAACCCAGGGCTTCTCAAAGTCTCACTGAAGCCGTGCCCTCAGCATTTTTACTATTTTTTTTTTTTTAAAGAAAAATGCCACCCATTCCCCATTCCCCATTCCCATCCAAAACTCCTTTCTCCCATGGTTCATATTTGTAGTGTTGGTGCCAGCCTGTGCTTCAGAATGAGATCCTGGTTACAGTTCATGATGGCCAGGAACTTACTCTGTAACTTGTGTGGACTTCCAACTTACCATCCCTCTTCTCAGGCCTCTGAAGGGCCAGGATAATAGGTCTGTGCTACCCTGTTCCAGTAAAGTATAAAAATACTTTTTTTTTTTTTTTTTTAAGAAGACATGCCTCATATAACCTAGGTTGGCTTGTAGCCAACTATGTAGCCAAGGATGACCTTAAACTTCTGATCTTGCCTCCCACCTCCCAGATGCTGGCATTACAGGCTTTTGTCATCATGCCAGGTTTATGCCATGCTGGAGATTGAACCCAGGGTATTGTGTGTGCCAGACAAGCACTCTGCCAACTGAGTTATATCCTCAACATCAAAAATGGAAACTCTTTTAAAAATACTTGTGTGTGTGTGTGTGTGTGTGTGTGTGTGTGTGTGAGAAAGAGAGAGAGAGAGAGAGAGAGAGAGAGAGAGAGAGGAGAGAGAGAGAGAGTGAGTCTGTTTGCCATGGGGGTTAGGTGCTTTCAGAAGCCAGAAGAGGACATCAGATCCCCTGGAACTGAGTTGCAGAGGGTTATGGGCCCACTAATGTGGTTGCTGGAAACTGATCTTGGGTCCTCTTGAAAAACAGCAAATGCTCTTAACTACGGAACCATCATTCTGGCTCTCAGAAATTCTTTTATTTTGGGGGCCGGGGGAGTGGTTATTGAAACAGGGTTTCTACATAGTCCCCAATGTCCTGGAACTCAATATGTTGACAGGCTGGCCTTGAACTCATTTTGTGTGTGAGTGTGTGTGTGTGTGTGTGTGTGTGTGTGTGTGTGTGTGTGTGTGTGTCTGTCAGTCTGTCTGTCTGGGTGTT